TCAAGCCCGACATCATCGAGTGGAAGCTGGATTGCGGCTACTTCTGGGTCGGCCAGTGGCACTACACTCTGGCTGAGGCGTGCCGCCACGGCAATTTGGATGTAATCAAGTTCCTGGTGGATCACCCAACAGGACAGCAAGTCATCGACGAGATGGGCCGCAGCAGAGAGCTCTCGAGTCTCGTGTGCTTCCCTGCTGCCAAGGGCAACAACAAGGCGATGCAGTATCTACTCGACGAAGGGGCTGGCGGGCCATTCGAGCAGGCGATGGTCAGCGCCATCTGGATGTGGCATCTTGGCTGATGCGGTGATTTCCCGAGCTCAACCCTGCGAGCTTCACCCCGCTTGCTCTCGCCAAGAACAAGTTCGAGGTGCTGCTGTTCCTACACGAGCACCACCCGGAAGCCCTCACGCCCGACTTCGTGCGAAGCGCCCGTCTGCCTATCACGGGACTATTGACGCCAAGCGATGTCCAGATCCAAAACTGGTTGAAGCTACACTACCCCGTGCCAGACATCTCCCAACTTGCAGGAGGGCTTCCTGAAAGAGTGGCGCAGCAGATCGCGAGGCAACAGGCGAAGACCTGATCTCATCACTGTTCAGCAACTGGCCGGACGGGGCCCTGGTGGGGTCAACAACGCTATGGCGATCGTGATGAACCATATAATGGTGAGGGTGAAGCATGGTGACGACGACCAAGTGCTGTGGAGCTCATTTTTGCGTGTTTTCGATTCATATATCGTGATTTCAAACAAATCGTGCAATTTCACTACGCAGATGTTGGTTGCCATTCGTGATAGCACTTATTTGAAACTTTTGGCCAGCACGGGCACACTCTTGTCAAACTAAATCAGAGCTTCCTCTTACTCTGACACTTCATCCCGACGTAGTGTCTCGAACCACCCCATCTGCCGAGAACACGACGTCGCCAACCCGAAGAGCGTTGGCACAAAACAACGAGTTGCGCTCGGAAAACTGGACGCCGATAGACTCAGCCAATGCAACAACCACCTTCCGGCCTAGAGTCACAGCTTCTCTGGGCCCGCCGAATACGACATGCTTGATACGATCTCCGTAGCACACAAAACCAGGTATAGGAGCTAGCATATCCTCGAGTTCGGAGGCGTCTTGGGATCCGGTAGTCACCAGGTCAAAGTAGAACGGCTGCCCGTCCATTTCATCGAGCGTCTTCTGCTGCTCGTAATCGTCGGTGATATCTGTCAAAAACCACTCCAAAGCACGAAAGATATCCGGACTCGACGTTTTCCCCAGTCCCATATCCTCGCATGCTTTCGAGTAAGTTTGCACTAGCACTCGAAGATCTAAGAGGATAACTTTGTGAAGCCGCTTCAGCAACGAACAATCGCTTTTCCAATAGAGCTTGTGACTTTTTGTCGACCGAGACGCCAATTCGAGCGGTATTCACCACAAACTGAGTGAAGCTTGGACTTGTGTCACAAAGCTCGCCGACAGGAGTGAGAGCGGGAACCGTGACAGCAGGGTGGTCCGTTCGATGAAACCTCTGCATCAAGTAAATGACGCGTGAAGCTTCCGCAAAGATCATGTTGCGCGTGCGAATAGACGAGCTAGTGATCTGGTCAGGAGCTGAAAACTCCGTAGCTAGCCCTGCAAGCTCACAATGAATTTGCTAGCGTGATGCGCATCGTCGGCTTTGCAGTGCACAGGGATGCTAGTATCTCTCAAACGATTAAACACAGCCGCCGCAGATCGTCTTAAGGAGTCCTCCAAAACAGAAACGCCAATTTGCCCGTCATTTGCTGGAATCTCCGCGCCCACTGCAGCAAGTAGCTGCTTTAGTATTTTGGATTTTTCCGCAAGCTCATCATCTCCCGTTGCTATTGCCCTCGGTGCTTCAGTTGATTGACCGCCCTTCGCTTTGCCCTTCTTGTTCTTTTTGTTTTTCTTTTTGCACCTTTTCGTCTTCTTTCCTGCATTCACGGCGGTGTTCAAGCTTGGGTGTTCCACGTTCATCCGTTCGACTTGCTCAGCTAGAGCATCCACTGGAGTAGAAGGCAGTTCGATGCTACTAGCTTCATCGTCCGTCTTTTCGATAGCCAAAAAAGATGAGAACACGCAGTATCTTCGTTCGAGGTCCACTGGGGAGATCGCAAACTTTGACTGGATCACTTCGGCTAGTTCCGTACAAATTGCTCTGAAACGCCTACCATTCACCCGGTCACCAACCCACGGATTCGGATTGCCACCAGGCATTGCGCTCATAGCTACTTCACCACTCGGCTGCATCGCATCTAACACTCGAATCACAGTTAGCGTCACGAGCTGCCCGTCGTCCACACTCCGCGCCTCATCTTCGCCCAAAATGTTGCACATTTCGGAGAAGATATCAGTCAGGTTTTCGTGGAGTATCAGCATATCTCGAGACAATACGCGGGTCTCGAACAGTTCTTCTGAGCAAATGCGGGCGGCGCTAGTAAGCAAATCCCTCGACGAACCAGCCCGTAAAAACGACGTATCGCCCTTAGTCAATAGCCGAAATATCTTGGACACATCCTTCAAAAAGAACACCGGTCTTCGCTTCATCTTGCCGGACCCATTGGCTGTGCGATCTCCTCGAATTGTTGCTTCTAGTGCAGTAGCTTTCAGGGATGAACTCAATAGGTACGTGCGGTAGTAAGCGCCACGCGTAGCTGCAGCTCTGGAAGGCGTGAAAATCATTTTATCGTAAATATCCAATATTTCCTCAACAAACGGCAACTTCGAGAGAAACCCTTCGACCACCAGCGCGTTGTAGAGATGCCCAAAGAAATGCAACTTCGACGTTACCACAATCAGTTCACTTGCCAAATCCAGGTACTCGAAATGGTGATCCAGCATCATCAGGCCCGCCACTATCGGGTTCGTGTGAGCTAGATGGGAATCCTGGCCCGACCTTCGAATAGCCGTGGCATAGTACTGATAAAAGCAGTGAAGCTGCTTGTTAACAGCCTGAACTGCTCCCTTAGCCACGGTCACATCGAATTTAGTCGTGAGATCTGCCGCGTGCTTCAAGGTTAACTTCGTATTACGACCGAGTCCTCCATCTCCTTGCAACGCAGCGACTGACTTTAACCAGCAAATACACGAAAACGCTGGAGAGATGGTAATATCGCGAGACTTGAAGAACTTGTCCATTGGCTCCACGAAATACCCAGAACGATTCCAGTCGGGGTCTTCAGTGGGCTCGTACGTGCGAAACGTAGTCACCTTAGTGTAGAGGAGCGTGTTGTACAAATTCGGCAACTGCTGCATGAGAAACATCACCATGTTGTTCGAGTCAGGGAGCACATAGTGTGGAGTCCGCTCCTCGTCGTAGCTTTCGCCAAAATGACCGCGCGGGACGTTGATTCTGTACCGAAGATTAGATGCCGGTGGATTACTCGTCTTGAACGGCGACTGAGTCTTCTCCATTTACTGGCTCGGATTCCAGAACGCGCAGTGGCAAGCTTACAGTAGGTGGATCCTGCTCTGTTGCTTGCATTCATTTGTGGGAAAGTATGTAACGCTTATCTTTTTTTCATGATGCGCAGTGCGTGGGAGGGGTCAGTGCCGGGTCATCATCGGAACGAACGCCACTGTGGTTGTTGGCAGCGGGTCGTCGACGGATTAAGGCAGTTTCCGCTTTGAGTATCATTTCGTTAGTACCGTCAATTCCTAATGTGTGTCGTGCGGTAAGATAGAGCAGCAAGCTAAGTTGCAGTCTTGGTAGGTACATGCTCCCTTCTTTTTTTAAAAGGAAATGCACGATCAACAGTTCGTAAAACATCCTAGCACTCGAAACAAATCTACACCTCTTTGATGTACTTCTGCATCGGATTGTGTGCAATCATATCAAAAAGTAACTTACGATCGAAAAGAGACAGCGAGTACGAAAACCATCAGTACATTCAACTTGTTGGGGGACTGGCCTAACATGTAAGCAACACGGTGAATGCACACGTAAAACAAATATTCGATCCTCCGTCACACAACGCTTCGTTTACACAGCAGCAGCGTGTCGGACAATCCCAGCATCTGAAATCACGAAATCTCCGACACGAACCGTGGAGGTGCACGGCTCTGAAGTGCGATCGGAAAACACAACGCCTGCCTGGCCAGCCGCCTGAAGCACCAGCTTGCGAACGCGCGCTACTTCCTCTCGGCTGGGAGCGCCGTAAACAAAATGGTTGACGTTGCCACCGAAGCACACGACGCCATCCAGAACAGCAGTAACAGCTCGCTTGAGTTTCTCGAAGGCTGGAGTTGACGTTGTCACCAGGTCCAAGTAAAATGGGTACCCCTTGAGTCTGTTGACTGCAGCCTCGACCTTGGGGTCATCAACGTGAGTGCTAATGTACCACTCCAAAGCGCGAAAGCTGGCGGGGCTTGATGCTTGGCCGAGGCCTATGCCATCACGAGCAGTTGAGTACTTCCGTACCATGCCTCGATAGCCCATCGGCCCATGCTCTTCAAATGGCACCTTCAGCAGGCGCTTCTCCAGCAAATCCAGAATCTCGCGCACTTGAGGCTTCCTGTCGATAGAGGCGCCGATCTGAGCGGCGAGCAGGACAAACTCGATAAACTTTGGAGTTATTTCCCACAGGAGTCGCACAGGGGTCAAGCTCAGGGGCCGTGACAGCAGCGTGGTCAACACGGCAGAACTTCTGCAACAGGAAAATCGTCTGCGAGGCATGGGCGAACACGGCAGCTCGAAGTTTCCCCCCGCTGCCAACACATTCCGCAACGGTCAGCCTAAAATCAGTGGCAGGTCGCGATGCGCCTTGCGACGGCTACTCTGCTCCTTCGCGTCGGTGCTTCCACAACAACCGTTCTGGTGCGTTCGTGCTCGAGAACTGAAAGTATTTCCTTGCAAAACAAAGTAAATGCATCCTAAGAGTAACCATGCTCGAATATTTAGTGAACTTACTCGACAACCGCTCACACACCAGGCGTAGGTGATAGTCGCGAACGTTTGCAATGGTGCGTAGTTAGATGAGTTGATAGATACTTCAAGAATAGTAGATTTCGCTCATTGCAGCAACTCGCCCGGCACTAAGACAGCGAATATAGACCACGAGGGCGGGGACTGCCTCAGGAACCGAGCGCGTGCTACGAGAAACGAAATCTGAGGGCAGTGCCAAAGAAAATGTAGCCTCATTCAATCAGTGCGAAACGCTGAGAGTTTCAGACCCGTTCGGAAATATCTCGATGTGTTCTTCGTAGATGCTATTTGCACCATCTGCTGCACAATTGACGAGTAAGCGCACACGATGAAGTGGCTTTCATGATTCTAACCAATGTTTTCATGTACCTATCCCAGCTTTCGCGAAGCCCTGGTCCGTACATTATCGAGCTATCTTTTGATTATTTGACCTGTATTTTCTTATGCAATATGTAACGAGTCCAATCGTGCTCAGGGCCTGAGCCTCAGGCTTGCTTTTCAATTAGGGCTCCGTGTGCCGCACAATCGACGAGTAAGCACACCCGATGAAGTAACTTCCATTATTCTAACCATTATTATCATGTACCTATCCCAGCCTTCGCGAAGCCCTAGTTTTTTTCGAACCCTGGGCTGAAGTCAACAACCATACAAGCGGCCACAACGATGAACTTGCGAGGACCCCGTCGGGGAGACCGGGTCCTCGCAGGTGTTCCCCTTCATGATGTTCACAAAACTAGCCGCCTAATTGCGCAGCGCCAAATCATCGAAGGGCTTGTGCTTCGAGCCATGTCTCGCCGCTGTAGCCCAACATCTTGTTCATCCAGTGCAGTTCACATAGTCATGCTTGGGTACCGTCATGTTGCCGTAGTCGTCCAGTAGTAGCCGCATGAATCAAAGCGTGACCTGTATTGAATTGAGTCTTGTTTCGAGTGCACACTATGCTGGCTTTGAGTTGATTCCTGTATACCTCATCACTATCTTCATCACAATTATGGCTCTAGCATCAGTACGTCTGCAGCAGATGCCGCCAAGGCTGCATCCAGCTCGAGCCCAACCGGAGCTTCTCTTGCAGCACTCGTTTCCACAGCCAGTGCATCCACCTTCGACAGTCGCTATGGACGACACGCAGAAGGTGGTGGCAGTCACCGACGAGACCGGTCGACCGCGCAATCTTGAGCCACACTTGAACGCTGTCGCCATCTCCGCTCTGGAACGCTGTAGCCGATTGACTTGCACCTCTACGACGGCGACGACGAAGACCTTGACGAAATGCTGAAAGCTTACATGCCTACGTCACCTGGAGCAGCCACCCAGCACGACGGCGTGTTCTTGTAGAGACGACAGCCCATCCATCTCCTGCTCGTGACGTCAGAGCGTCGGAGCGCACTCAGCTTGTCTGCCTCAGCATCAACAGCGACGCTCGAGTCGCAGACGAACCCTCCCGCGGGTCCAGCCAGCCTCGGATCGCAGAGACGAGCGCAAAGCCACACGGATTCTGCCCGCAATGGGTTTGTAGCTGGCGTGCTGTGCTCACGACACAAGAGCAGGCAAGGACAGCCAGCGGCGCCCTTCCTCGCGACGTCGATGCCCTCTTGTCTTGTCTTGTCTTGAAGCAGGAGTCTGCGACCAAGGTACGGAGTACGACTCGCACAAGCACAGCAGCACCGCGCTGTGCTGCGACAGCACGTCCATCGGCACAGTGCTTTGCCAGATCCAACTTGGCTCGCCGTCCTGACGACACGGAGCTTCTCGGCAGCTGCGCCAACTGCACGGGACACGATCACGGCCACGCACTTGCTGGTCAAACTGTCGAGTTCTGCCGGCAGCGCCACAATCACGCCTTCCTGCCTCGATCTTGCGCATTTCACCGGCATTCTCAGTCGCATGAGGCGCTCCCTGATCCGCTGAAGCCATCGTCGAGCCTGGGCAGTCCCTTCCCCGCCATCACCAACAGCTCATCTAAAGCCGGTGGCATTGACAGGGAGCCATCCTTGACCAGCAATTGCGATCCTTCGTCCCACAGCACCCTTTTAGCACCTTAAACCGGCAGCGATGGCTTCGCCTGAATGCCATCAACTCCGTACAGCACTTCGTCGATCTTGGCCAGAAAAATTGCATGGGTTGATAGTTCACCTCGCCGCGTCATTGGCGTAACCACGAGAACTGCAGCCAACGGAGTCAATCCTTGCTCGTAGACGACAGCACATACACCCACGCGCTTGTCTTGGTCATCCGTAGCTTGTCATGCCGGGTGCAACACGTCCGCGTTGCTGGTTTGCGCACACCGTAGAAATCGAGCAATCACCCGACTTTCGGCCGCCATACATTTTAAAGGCAAGTGCAAGGCTCTGTCGAGCCAAACGCGGGGCACTTATGGGTGTGCTTGAGAAGGCCGTTTTTAGCGTGGCGGCATATTCACGTAAAAATAGTGATCGCTTAGCCTGCGCCGTTGCTAGTAACCGCGGCATAAATCTTTTGTGTCGTCGGTACTAGCTGTGCCATGAGGGCCCATGCTGCATTCTGGGCCTTCGCCAATGCACAGGGCACCACGGTGAGTGTGAAGGCAATCGCTGCGAGCGCGACGAACGACCCTCAGAAGGCATCAGATTGGCTAAAAGATACTTAAAGTAAAGCAGGTCGGTACTATCGCCGCTGGTGGAATGCCTTATCGCCAGAAGAAAGAGGCGTATACTTTAACGCGCATGACGACCCAACATTTCCTCTGGACGAGTCGCACAAAGGAATCTACGATGAGCGGAAGGACGGGGTCCCAGCAACTGTCCCTGTGACGTAGCCTCAATTGGTATCCAGCTACTGCTTCCCAAAAGACCACACCCAGATCGCCGCGGTAGATAGAGCTCTACTGAGCAAGATCGCTCGGTACAAGGAAGCTCATGCGATCCGTAGGCGAGGCTGCAGCAGCGCGCAGTATCGGGTGTAGTTAGCCGACTAAACCGCAATAAATTTAAATTGAAATCGGTACAAGGAAGCTAGTACTAGCTACGTCGCTGCACTGCGTACGAGCGAGCTGTTTCGCATCGCCCAAACATGTAAGGCGTCGGATGTGGTCAAGCATACGTTAAGATCGGTCTCAATGATCCTGGACTGCCTAATAAACGACGTAGGTTGGCAGGTGCCCGGAGACAGTCGGAGCTCGGTTGTTGGTGCGATTCAAAAGGCGGCTACAGCGATCGAAGCTGTAACAACTGATGCCTCGTTGTCATCGGAGGATGATGTGTACGACATGATGGACAAGTGTCGCGAGTGCGAGGCAAACGCTGGCGCAATTGCAGCAGATCTCGAAGTCTAAAGCTTCTCTGAAATCTACTTGACGCGGGACAAGCATCCAGGTAAAATGCAACAGTTTTCAGCGTTAGGGTAGCTCGAAGTGGAGGACGCCATCTTGTATGTGTCTGCCAACACGCCGGGAGATGGTAGCGAGGAAGTCGAAGCTGGCGATAGTGCTATCCACTCGACCAAGAAAAGCAGTGCAAAACGCCGTCGAGCTTGGAGTAAATCTAGCAGCTAGAGTCCATTAAGAAAACTAGGCACCCCGTTCGATCTAACAAATAATAGACAGAACCTCCGGCGTGTTGACGTCGAGTTGAGGACGCTCTAAAGGATGGCCAAGACGGTTCACACACCCGTGGTGCTCATTTGTGCAAGGCGAGTTTTCTGTCACTGTCAGCGACTCACTAAGCAGGGGAAGCTTCTCTCTTCTCTGGCGGTTGTCATGCGGAAGGACTAGGCAACCTGCCCTCCTTCACCCCTTCAGTTTATCCCCTAGGCGCTTAAGTTCCCTCCGTAGTCGTTCGTTCTATTCTCAGGTTGTCAATTTAACACCAAGGCAGTTGGTTCAGCTCAGGTGTTTCAGTTCAGATCCAAGGCTCTCTCCATGAATTTGCTTCACCAATGCTGCGATGTTTTAAGGTGATTAGTGCTGAGTGGTTGCGAACAGGCGCGTGTTCCTATTAGGGGGGGGGCAGAATTGCCCTGTTTGCGAGTT